GATTTCCACTGGATTCCAACGAAGGCGGACCATCCCACCAAAGTTTTCGCTCGTTCTTCCGACTCGTTCATGATTTATCACTACTTCTATCGTGATCACAGTTTGAATTATGAAGAAACTCATTCACGGTTCAGTCTTGATAATTAAACACACGCGGAAAGCATAACAATCAATAGCTAGTGTTATTGTAACTTTATAAAAAGGAAATCATGTAACAACCAACTTGGTCTCATTTTAATGCTTGAGACTTCTACTTTCACAATCCTGAATTCATTTTTTTTTTTTTTTTCGAAAATTGTAAAAATTCAAAACTGTCTCTGGAAACAACAAAAATGTTTTCTTTTGCGACCGAATCAGTTTCAAAAATGAAATCTTCTTTTTACAACAAGTCCTCGGAATTTTCTCAACTTTGAATATTAGGATTAAACGACAACAATTTAGGAAATCTTAATGATTTCGTCTTTTAATCCTTAATGCTCGAAGTTCAATGAAATGGTGGAAAAAATTTGTACAAGTTTTAAGAAGTCGGTATTCAAAATAAATTAAATATTTAAATTGTTATTTACATTTGTGTACTATTTCTTTGATTGATTATGAGATTTAAAGATAGCTACAAAAAAAAAAAAAAATATAAAAAGACCTGATCCCTAGGGACCTCCCTAGAGGAGTATTAACGAACGAGGAAGGCAATTGTTTCCCAACTGATAATTAATTAACGAGATAAAGAGGGGATAGTTCGGTGAAATGAACCACAAACTCGCAACGAGTTAATCAATTAAATGGTTAGTCCATTTCAAGCTTATTCTTTCTTCGTACGCCAGAGAGGAAAAGGAAGCTCACAACGTAAGAAAGGTCGTTGATACGCTGAGCCAATTAGCAACGAAGTCTCGAGGGGCTCAGACTGAATCTCATGCTTCAATGTGTTAAATACACAGTGCACAACCGTATACTACCTTCAACGATTTTCTGACTATACAGCAACTATTATTCTTGATATACAATATGTGTATAATATAATAGAATGTAATATTGATTATGAAACAATTAAAAAGAAGCTAATCATCATTCTTGATATACAATGTATGTAATATAATATAACGTTGGTTGTGAAACAATTAAAACACATCAACTAATACAATTGTATATATTATACAACACAATATATAATATGCATAATACAATATCATATTGATTGTGAAACGATTAAAAGAAACATCAACTATCATTTTTGATATATGTGTATAATACAATATAATACAATGCAATATACAATATACGTAATATAATGTCATATTGATTGTGGAACAGTTAAAAGACATCAACTGTCATTCTTAATAGACAATATGTGTATAATACAATACAATGCAATGCAATATATAATATGCATAATATATCACTTTGATTGTGGGACAATTTAAAAACACCTGTCATTCTTGATATAAAATATATGTAACATATATAATAAAATAGAATATACTAATAATATATAATATAGCATGCAAGAAATAATATGCATAATACAATATTGATTGCGAAACAATTAAGAGAAAAGAAGAGACATAAAAGACTGAGAATCGATATTAAAATTTATTCTAACTAACAAGAATGACATATATCTGCATTGTAATCATTTGTATAATTGAGAGGTTCAATGGAAAAGTGGAACAAGCATCACTCACTGATTAATTATATTTCTCCACAGTTTTCCGGTATTAGTCTATTTATGAGTGAAATATGACACACTTTCAAAAGATTGATATACAGTGTCTAAGATTCACAACAAAAAATAGAAAATTCTTCCAAAAATAGAAATAGAATATTTTGTGTTACTACTTTCATTTATTCATGAATTAATACTCAAACTACCAAAGTCGTTAAATGTATGTTATAAATGAAAAACAGTTTTTGCAGATTTAAATGATAAACAGAAGTTTGTGTATATCGTAAAGTTTTTCCATTTCAATGTCTCTGATGGGAATTTTATGCTTCAGCCATCAATAGCTCTAATCGGTCAAAGTTCTCTTGTAAAATCTTCCTTGAAGATTTGAAATTAAACGGTATATATACATTCGTTCAAGAGAAATTCCAAGACTGATGTCAGGCTGCCAAGATAACCTCTTCTAACCTACAAATAATTGATAAATTATTCGAACAACCTAAATAATTGACAAGTCATTCGAACTGATTGTTAATTGTCCAAAGATGAAAGACACAATAACGAAGTGCCCCGGTTCCCAGGATGTAAAAGTCAAACGTCAAACGATTTCTCCTCCGTTAAACGAGGTTGAAAAAGGAAAGCTCATTTTATAGAATCGTTGCAGGTGAACGAGTGGAAAATTAGCTTGGTCGAGCATCCGGGATGAAACCGAAAAACTGGAAAAGTCGAAGAAGCGAGAAACAATTCACTGGGATATATCTCTTTCACGGTGTCTTGCTTTGCGTCGTCCAATCTCCTGGTAAATGGACACTGGCGCGTTCGTGACTTTCGCGCGAACGTGAGGATCGTTTTAAATCCGGCCTCAACGAATGGTGTTTCGTGGCCAAAATTAAATGTATATATCCGATTGTTTCAATTGTGGCTCTAATTTCTATCACGTGCAGAGGAAAAAATTCAAGAATTGGAATTTCATAAATTTCAGGCATTTGAAAAATCGTGGCGGCAAATTTCAATTGCAACTTTTTATATTGCAACGTTCCCGAGGTGAAACATTTCAATTGGATCACTGTCAAACTGCGGATTTTTCTGGAGATCGGTACACTTCTGAGAACATAATTTGAGAAAAACAGAACATCGGTAGTCAAATTGTCAAACATAAAACGCACTATATTTTGAATGTTCGTATATTTTCTCACAATATCGTAAAAATACATAAAAATTCGTAGGCCAATTGTTATCGAGTATTTCTAGTATTCTTTTCGTCGTTAAAATAATCAATCTTCCATTCTTTCACTTGCTGCCAGCACATCGGAATGTATCGTTAAAACGATTTAAATCATTTTAGGTTAAGGACTCGCGTCGTTGAATTTCAAACCTCCGCCCCTCCCCGCGGGTACACTTGGGAAAATGCCACTTTCACGGAGGGTTTGTTCCGTGTAGTCGACGACACGGTAGTTGGTGTAAATTTTCGCGGTTTCTGCCGGCAACTTGTTGACACTTGGATGTTTCAAGGGGAAATTCTCTTTTGTAAGAGAAAAAAGCTTTTGCAAGAGATTGCACGGTTTTAGTGATTCGATTGTCTCCTTTCTCTCTCTTACCATGGAAGATTCACTTTAAGCTGATCACTCATAAACCTAACCTATATAAACATAAAGGCTGTAAAGTATTCGAAGGACGATGCTTTTCCCCGTTCGGCTTTCACGAGACCGCGAGAAAACGAGGTAATAAGGTCACGCAAAGCACATTTAGAAATCGTTTGATGGAAAATTGGAGCTCGGCGTATGACAAGTGGCCCCTCAATGTCGGCACATCCTGCACGAACGTGAACACCGGTTTAATCGATTTGTCCTTCGCTTAAACGTTCTAACGCATTCTAGCCCGGCACTGATTAGCTTCTTCGACACACTCGGTCGGCTCGTCACTGATTCGCGACAACTTGACAGATATCGTCGTTTATCGTTCTGATAAATACACACGTGGATTGTCAGGGTTAGAAATATTTCCGACAATATTTTTCTGTTTTATTCACCGACGAAGGTTGCAAGTTCAATTAATTGGAAATCGTGGTCCCGAACGTGTTTGAACTGAGAAAACACAACGTGAAATTAAAATTCTGTGCTCTTGATACACATTTGGAATTGTTTGGTCCAAGGGATCGTTGCGTGACACTCGACGAGGCATGTTTCCGCTTTCCTACCAGCGGTTCTCAAACGAGTTTGCATCAGTACAAGGCGAGTTCGCAATGTAAATGTTTGAATGTTTGAACCTTTGGACATTTAGATCTTTAGATATTTGAGACATCGTTGGACATTTCAGTCTTTGGAACCTTTGGATATTTCAAACTTTGAGCTCTTTCTTGATTTTTGAAGTCTTCGAGTCTTTCATAATTAGGTCATTAGAGATACTTTGTTTTTAACGATTTCTTCTTCTGCAGACTAGAATTAGTAGAAAACAACTGAAATTAAGGATGAAAGTGGGAAGTAGGGGGGAACCCCTCAAGTTTTAAAGGATCGTTGAAAAGCATTCAAAAGAACGTTTCTTATAGCCTGCAATAATAAGCAAGTAGAGCAGATCCAATAATCGAGATAAGATTCGCCGATATAATTAGTGAAAAAACTTCTGTAGTTAGTAGCGTAGCCAATGAATTTCGAAGACTGACTTTCCAACTGAACTCTTTCAGGGGAAAATTTGCAAGCTTCGAAGGTTCGTGGAGCAGAGCGCGGGGAATGATCTAGACTAAAATGAAGGGTATATATTTGCAGCTTCATCGAGGGCTGAGCTATCGAAAAATATGGCGTCAGGATTACCGAGCGTTCATCAGAGGAAGCTTGGACCAGCGCCGATAGCATCCTTCGAAGACCTGTCCGACGAGGTGGAAAACGTGAGTCCTTCCCTGTGTCCTCCCCGAGTCTCCTCTCTAAGTCGGCTGTTACTCGAGCCGTGATACCGCTGCTCGAGGAGGTCCGTGTGTGTAAAAAGTCGCCGGGAGATCTGGTCGTCAGATCGCGGGATTAACGTGCGTGCGCGTTTCCCCCCCGCTTTATCGAGAGAAAAGCGTTTGCGAAGCTCCTAGGTTTGCCCTCCGGAAGCACCTAGGTGTGCGACACGAGTCCTGTGCGTGTTGCTGGTCCTGTCCACCGACCATCAACCAATCAGCCAACCACTCAACCACACCCCAACAGTGACTGTGACTCGACGACACAAAACCAGCCTTACGAATTTGAATGCAGGGGGAACCGGCTGCGCGAATGCCAGGCATCGTCGAGGTCACCACGCCGGCAACGCCTGGTAGTTCGCTTAAGACACCCAGCACACCGAGAATTGACATCAGCAGGGCGAGCAGTTCCTCCCACCATGAGGACAGTAACTCCAGGGACTCCACGCCCGAGAGGGAACTCCTCGCAGGTACATATACATACATCTTCTTTCTCTTCAATGTAACTCGTTCGATTTGTCGATTTGTATCTACAGACATGTTTTTTTTTTTTTTTAGAAGTTTCTTTAAGTGCTAGGGATTTTTGGCAACTATGGTGGTAGTTAATGTTTATTAAGAGTCAGAGACTTTGCTCGTGGTTTTTGATCGTTGCTTCGAGTTCCACAGTTAGCGATGGGATTGAGTACGTTACTAGTGGATTTGAACTGTTTATTTATCACTGCAATTGTCAGAGATTCTTCGGTGGACGAGGCATCCTCCTGTTCTTTCAAAACGCGATTCTCAAATGTTGAAAATTCTTGAACTTGGATGTGATACTTAAGTACATATCTCGACTCGATTCCACTCGTAATCACAATGTACTACGTTTTGAAAATTTTGTTTCAGATCTATTTCATGAAAATTTACTTATAAAATTATATACATATATATATATATATATATATATAAATGTCCTGTGACTTGTAGAAATGTAGTTCACATTTTGTTCAATTTTAAAACAAATTTGGACGAATTCTGTCATGTGCAAGCGATGGAAAATATTAACAAGTTTATATATATATACAGGGTGAGTGTAAACTTGATCGTCTTAAACATCTCCATTGTTTCTGAAGATACAAAAAAAACTTTGTTTCAACAAAAGTTGCTCAGAGAGAACCATGATATGATGTTTGTAGTTTCTTATGGATGGAAGAATTTAAGGTTAAGCTTCACCTTCACTTTTTTTTAATATATTTTTTTACTGGATTAATCAAATTGATTCTCTGTGAAAGAATAGTGACTTATATAAAAAAAAAAACTATTAATCTTAACCTATTAAAAAAAACTATTAATTTCAACGAAAGAGACAAGGGCAGTATTCTCATGTTAATATTGTTCTTATCCTTCACGCACAAATTTTATTAAAAAAAAAAAAAAATTGAAGTTAAAACATCTCTCAAGTTATTAATTAAGTTTCGAAATAGATAGGTCGATACTTTTTTTTTTATAGAAGATAAACAGCTGCATCGATCGGTGCATATAAAAAAAAATATATATATAAGATTCCATTTCTAAAAAGTGACTTTAAAATCACCGAAAGCTACAAAGAAATTATTACTGCCACATCACGAGAAAAACTTTTGTCAACAAAGTCGATGCTCAAGGTGATCAAGTTCACGTGACTCACCCTGTATGTATATATTTATCGTTAGCAGTTCCTGCGTTTTCGCTACGTCTGAATTTGCGTTCGCACGTAACATTACAAAGGTGAACAGGTCACGCGAATATTACTCTTCACCCTTTAAGGAATATTTTGTATCCCTGCTACGAACGAAACGTGGGTGCGATAAAATCGCACGAATGACTCATCGACAATGAATTCGGATTGTTCGAGTTTCATGTGTCAACGCGTACGATCTAAGAACGCACCATGATGTGTTCGTTTCAGAAACGAAACTTGGAAACGAACTTGATGGAAAGGAATTGTTTGCGTGGCGGCTAATTGGAAGTTAAAATCATTCCTGCAATCGAATTTTCCACGGTCGCGAGAACGTGTGACGAGATTGTATATCTTCAACTATACTCGTTAGCAATTTCCATTGCAATCCTCTCGCTGTCATGGTGGAAATTTTGAGCGACAAACAGCGACAGACTTGTTTCTTCGGTCACAAGTTTTATATACAGTGGATGAAAGAAATATCGGCACACTGAATCTACCTTTTTTTCTTTCAAATTTTGCAATATTTTCATGAAAACAAAACACAGTGACAAAATCTGTTTCTATCAACACACGTGTATTTGTATATACAATGATTGTAGATACTTTCATTTTTTTTTTCTGTTGGTATTGTGTAACACATTATTAGAAATTGCTACAATATATGTTACTTTTGTATGTAATGAATTATTAAATCAGGTTCACAACTTGGTGTTTAGTTTTATTTGAGGATATTAAAAGTATGTTGAATACAATATAAAGAAATGTTGCGTATAATTGTAAATGGGAAGAACACTATAAGAATTTCAAGTATAATATGAGATTGAAAGTGTAATACACAACATTTAAAATATTCAAAGAATCATTTATTAAATATTATTACAGAAAATATTGGATTTATGATTAATGAACGATTTAATTTTTATTTACTGTTGCTAACATTAGAATGTTAATCGTTTCAATACAAGAAAGATATTCTCTGAATTAATAATTCAAAGAAATTTGCAATTTTTTTTTTTATAAGAAGACAAGACTTTCAAAGTTACTTAATTCATTTGTAAAGAATGATCAACCATATAATACACGTTATTTCATTTATTACACATTATTCCGTTATTATCGTATTTATTCATTATTCATTATTACATAACCTAATATTTTCCCTAATGTATCATTTGTTTTCATGAAGATATTGCTAAAAAAAAAAAAATAGCTGTGCCCATAATTTTTGACACACTGTATATGTATCAGTTGCCTCTCTGTGAGTTTCGTTATTCCACGAGGTTAGGAAAATAATTCGTCATAGGCGTTGGGTCTCTTCTCTTCAATTCCGCAACTAACGAGACGTTCGAGACTCTATCGTTTGGTAGAGAAGCGTGTATCGTTTCCTTTAGAATGAAATCGTCGAGGAGTTCACGAAGGCGGTAAAGTAGGCAGCTACATATATAACGATGCCCTTCCCTTTTGGAGACGATGAACCTCTCTGTATGCCTTCCTCTGGAAGATATCCGTGTGATTCGCACGTGTTCGTTTGAGAAAAATAGCCGATGAAACTCGAAACCTTGGGTATGGTATGTTTGAGGATATTGTTAAATGATTTAGCGTAGAGGAAAAAGTAGCGATTCTGATCTTCTTGCACGGTGATAATGAATAGACTATTTTTTGGATTTGTGATGTTGCGTGATTAAACCTTTTATATTTAAACATAAAAACTTTTAACTGCGATTATGATAATTATATGTTATGTTAATTATTTATCAAACACAAAAATTCTTAGTTTATCTCATTGTTTATTAAATTTTTTTAAATTTTTATTAAATTTTTATTAAATTTTTTGTTCACACGATTGAAAAAATGGAATGTACATGTGCGATTTTTTTTATTTGTTAAACGTTGAGTTTATTTTTGGCATATTGCATTTCATGTATTTTTTGCAACTTTCAATTTCCCATATATAAATCTACGAAAATCCATAGTCTAGTAAATACAGAGATAACAAAGATTTTCCAATGAGTTTTGCAAATTGCTTGACTATTCTACGTTGACACAAGTGCATTATTTGTACAAGAGAAACCTACAGCGTACGTCTTTCCTCAAGTTGATAATATCGTTGGTGAATAAATTATTGTGCAAGAGGGTTCTGGTAATGCATTGCACAAATGGTATCAAGTCAGTAGGTCCATCTGTGATTCTATCGCTTATAGTGGTTGCAAACCGAATGGTAGTTCCTGTTAGAAATAATACCTATCTGTGAAAAGGTCCACTTGTTAAATATTAACCCATCTACTTTCAAAGTAATTCAATTCATTCGTAAAGGATAATCAGCCACATGATACACCGGAATTAATTTCATCATAAGAGTTTGCCAACGTGTCATTTGTTTTCCACAAAGATGTCGCGGGAAACGTTTCTGACCCACTGACACGCTCGCAGAGCGCGTGTTATTTCTACGAGGCTAATTGACCAGACGACGAAAGTCAGTTGATGAACGTGAATGCGTGACGTTCGGATCGATTCGACGACGAACGGAGAGGACAGGCGGTCGCAGAGGACGATTCTTCTTCGGCCGGACGTGCGAAAGAAGAAGGCTGCCACGAGGCCAGGTCGCGATCGATCGTTGCCGACGGTGTGTGTTGTTCACCGGTGTCTCTCTAAACGCTCCCTCGAGATAACAGCCCGAGCCCTGTTTCTGCCCCGAGTGTGTGCCACGAATTAATATACGCGGCGTAACGTTATGGGGAGAATTGAAGAGGGACGAGGCCTAGCTACGTCTATAGTTTGTCCTATATTCGAGAGCCTTTGTCGAGACAGCGGCCCGACACACGTAAAAGGGGCCAGGGCGCGGAAGAAGCGCGACACGATTTCTCGATTCCCTCGCGAAGTGAACACTCAGTTTCCCTTTTTATCGCGTAACGCGAATTCGCAACGATGGCGAGCTGAATGTTCGACACGACCTTTTCACAGAAGATTCCTCTCCTACTCTTTAAATCTGTGTTTTTTTTTTTTTTTTAACTTACGTGATTAATACATACACGTGCCTTTTTCACCATTTGAAAGTTTTCAGTGTTTCACGCGTTTATAGTAAAATTGAAGGATACGAAGTACGAAGTTGTAAGCATATGTATTTTATGAACTAATTTTCAGAGGCTAAGTAGTTAAACCTAACCTAAATCTTACCTTAGCCTAAATCTTAGCTTAACCTTAACCTTAGATTAGGTTAATTTTATGAACTAATTTTCACTGACAATAAGTAGTTCGACCAGTGGTTCCCAATCTTTTTCGGCGAGATTTATTATGAACCTAAGCATCTCTATAATTCTGATACTTTGGCATGGATGAAGCCTAAAAGGACCATTAACAAGCTTCCAAAGAACATGACATCCGTGAAAGAAAAAAATTAGAAAGCTTTGATAGAAATCTAGAAAATTCACTGTTTGTCGTAAACTTCAGTCTGCAAATCCATCGTGGACTCAGTCGCCAAAAAATTTTTTCAATTTTTCTACGTGCTACGATAATATATAAAATTTTCGAAAAGAAATTGCCTTCGCTTTGCCAGCTGCTGCGTGAAAATCTCTAGGAACAAAGTAAATCGAATAAAATGAATGTACTTTGAAAGCAGAGGCTTCAAGCTTCAAAATGTCGTCCAAATTTTTTTATTTATTGCACGATTTCTTTCTGCAAAATTATATAGTTGCTTCAACACCTAGTGTTCGAATATTGACGAGAGTCACTCTAGATATTAATAATTAATGTATTGTTATTTATCAATAACCGAGTACCTGTTCTGAGAATGAACATTTACGATAACAGGATCAATACTACACTTGGATTTCTAAAAGTGTATTATTGATTTTGCATTATGAAAAAGAAAAATTGAAATTGAAATGTTGATGTGCAACATGATATGCAAGATTTTTACTTGTAGATGCACTTTAACAGAACACAATAAATTTTATTATTATATATACTTTAACGATACAAAATATTTATCATTAAATATACTATTGCATTCAGACTCTTCAATTTTACTAGAAAAATGTGAGACGTTGAAAATCAGAAATGATCCCAATTTAATTGCCAAAGTCTCTATTACTAGATCGTTAGATTAGTAATTTTGTAAAATGTAAAGAAACTGAAGTATTTGCAGTGATGATTAATTATCGTTAATTATATTGTCAATTATATATTGCATTATATATATTATGTTATATATTATATATATATTATATATATATATTATTGTCTGTAAAACAAAGAAATTGAAGTACCATTAATTATTAATTATTAATTGCGTTAATTATTGCTTGTAATTTTGCAAAATATAAAGAAATTGAAGTATTATAATTAATTTTGGTTGGGTTTTGAAAGTTTAATATCAACTTGCACGATAATTTATTAACTATTCATTAACTCCCGCACAGTAATTTATTAGCAAATTGGCAAGCGGTAAATTATAAATTTTAATGATTTCGTGTAATGTAATTTAACAGAAAAATTTCATTTCGCAACCAAATTCACTTCTGTTAGAAATATAAGAGGATCTATTGCTACTGATGATAACTTGCACCCTGCGATTCTATGATACGAAAATACCATAGAAGAGCCGTCAAAGCACTCTAACAATCATCGAGAATAATGAGCATGATTGATTAAACAGAACAATATAATTCTTCACTTCTCCAATACATAACAAGCATCAGCACGACGTTCTCGATCGACACTTTCCTTTCAAATGAAATAGAATCAAA